TTCTGTGGGTGGGCACCTTAGGCTTTAATTAAATTGCATAGCCCACAGCACAGCAATTGTTTACCTCAGCTCTCCGGGTAACAATTTGGCGACCATGGCAGGATGTGGTGAGAAACAAGGGTATGTCTACACTACCCCGCTAGTTCGAACTAGCGGGGTAGTGTAGACATACCCTTGTTTCTCACCACATCCTGCCATGGTCGCCAAATTGTTACCCGGAGAGCTGAGGTAAACAATTGCTGTGCTGTGGGCTATGCAATTTAATTAAAGCCTAAGGTGCCCACCCACAGAATCCAGATTCGGCCTGGTATCCTGTAATTTAGGGCCAAACCATGTATTTTATAAGGTAAAGATCAAACATCAGCAAACAACAGGCAATTTATCAACAGTCCCACCCTAACCCTAGAAGAGAAGAAGATAGGATAGTTCCACACACATAAGATCATATGTTACATTCATAATCGGCGATTGATGCTAGATGTCCGTGACCTGCAACCTTGCGGCTAATGTAAAGCCTTAAGGGAGGACAAACGGAGCGTTCCCTCGATGAATGTCCGATGCCGGTTCCGATGTGGATACCGCAACCGAGTCCTCGCCTCCTGCAGGCTGATGCTTGGTGGAGTACTGGATCCTGTCCAAGTATCCCGTAAGCGAGACAATTTATAAGTCCCAAAGTCTTAGTGGTAACGGAAAAGGTGCTTCCCTTATTCCAAGTAATGTCACTAGAAATGGGTAATCTTGTCAGACTGCAGGCTGGAACCTTGGCCTCCTCAGGGTAGACAATGACACGGGAATGATGAACCATAGATGCACACGCAGGACATGAGGGAAGCCAAAGAACACAAGTGTTCCTTGACAAGGTCATGGCGGGAAAACCATGAAGAGAGCGGGGTGCAGAGAACTAGAGCTGGGTGCATAAGACTTGGGTGCCGTGTGCAAAGAATGGGTGCGCACGCAGGCAATTGGGCGGTGTGCACAGCGTTTGGTGCTGAGTGCACAGGTTTAGTGCTGGGTGCACAGCCTTTCTTTACCTGTTTTTGGCGGGAAAAACTGCTCTGAGGGAAAAAGAACCCCTCAGACTCCATTTTGTATTATGCCCAGGCAACAGTTCCCCTCCTTGAACATGTTACATACCATCACTCCAAAGTTTACAGTTGCAATTACAACATAATACAAAATAAGTACCCAACATGGTAACATTATTAACAGTATCAAGCTGTTTCCTTCTCTAATACAGAAGTATTCCTAGCCTTGTGATTTTCATACTTAGCCATTTTACACATAACCATAGTCAGTGCAGTCACGTATATCAGGACACAAAAATGTAACGCAAAACTAATGATCATGGGGTAACTAATTAGCGGTGACATCTCGTTAAAAAAGAAAATACATCCCACCAATGGTGTACAGGTACATCTGTATTTGCATTTATATTTAGATTCGTCTTTGCATTCTTTCTATCTTCACTGATTTTGTCAACAGTGTGGTGTATAATTATCCCAGTCCTATTTCCTAATTCATTTATTTCCTTTACTAGACCAATAAGCTCGGTGTGATGGAACAAAGATTTCATAGCGTTTAAGTTAGGACCAATTGCTACAGGCTTGATATTTCTTATCATATGCAAATTAATAGTATATTGCTCCTCTGATGGTTCGGACAAGGTCACCTCTATATCACATCCTTGTATGTGAAATACCTTACATAAACATAGGTTGGAAGTACCTAGATTCATTACTTTATAATATGTATTTACCATAAAATGGGAGCACAAACTCCGAATGCATATACACCCGTCTGCTATCTGAACCACGACAGAATGGTTGTCGTTATCACTAGAGGGATGCAGGTCGTAGTGACACTTTCCAAAATCAGGATTAAAACAGATGTGATCATTCTCCCATAACCCGGTGGTGCATGTATATCCAAGACTGACCTGCTTCACACATGCCTGTAGTCACCTGGGAATGCCGTCCTTCTCCTCCAGCTCCTAGTAGCAACTCAGCTCAACAAGTCTTACCAACTCTCCCTTCTCTGTTTTGCCACTCCTTTTTATATGTGCCTCCTGGGCCCTGATTGGTTGCTCCCCATGCAGTCACTGTAGCCTGCTTGGAGGACCTCTCTACTGCTCCCTTCCTGGGATGGGAGTGGTAGAGCCTTGAGGTCTCCAGCAGGGAGCCATTGGGTTCAGTTGATCCCATCACATTCAAATAAAGAAAACTCTGCTGTATGTGATTATGGTTTTGTCAGATGTAAAGGGCCATAGGAAAAATAATACCACAGGTTAAATAACAAGGCACAGCTTGTATTTGAACTTGGCTGTGGTGAAATTAAAATGAATTCCCTAAGTCCCTTCGCTCAGAATAGCTTTACATTTTGTAGCATTTTCCAACCCTTTTGCTCCATCCGGGTCATGAGTGATTAATTTTGTTGACTTAATCTCAGCCTAACATTTTTACTGCCAAACTTTCCAATTTTGAATGGCATAATCTCATTTTCAATTATTAAAATTTGTAGTTCACCTTCTTCACAGACAAAATGCTGTTTTTTATTTTGCATTTTAAAAACACATTTTCTGTCCGTTCAAACTGAAGCAACAACATATGCTCCTCAGAAACTGGGACCATTTTTAAGTTGTGGCATTCATATCAACCATTGATGTCTCCGTGGTTCCTTTTTTGTCCTTAGTTTATTATTTTATAATTAAATAAGTCTGCAAGCAATTTTAGTCTTATCTTCAATAAGGGTGGATAGCAAAGAATCAATAAGAATGGCTGAGGTTTAATATTGTGAGCAACAGTACAGATCCTTATTGTATATGCTATGCTCATTTGTATGCTGAACCCTTCCTGATGTTAATGAAAGTTCAGTACACAGGATGGGCCAGTTCAGTAGAGATGTGCAGTGCAGATAAGGGCTCTATAGCCTAGCTTGGAGTGAAGAACTCTGCCCATAATGTATCATTTTGACAGGTCGAGTATAACTTTATACTAGACCAACTGAGGAATTTATACCTAAACATTTACAGAAACCTAAATGTAATCTGTTATAAGAGAATATCATAGGTTATTGTGGGTATGAGTTTAGGCATGAGCTGTGGGCTCAATGTAGTTTTTCCAGTTTATCTTTTTGGTCAGGGTGCATTGTTCTCAGCGTAGGGTACGGCTAAACTACAAGTTTTTGTCGGAAAAAGATACGCAAAATGCACTGTGCATTTTGCGTACCTTTTTCTGATTTGTTTGTCAGAAAAGGCTTTTCCGAAATGTGCCCTGTCTAGACTGGGCCAAATGTCAGAAAAAAACTCTTTTGGAAGCCCCCTTCTTCCTCATAGAATGAGGAATGCAGGGGCTTCCGAAAGAGTGCTTTTGGTCTTCCGTAAAAAAAGGTGGAAGGGCAAACACGTTCCCTCGACATGGCAGAGTCGTAGTGTAGTCAAACCCCTTGTCATGAATGTTTGCTTGAACCACTCAGTGGTTCCTTTCTCTTGGATGATAGGTGCACCTTTGGCCAGCTGAAAGGGAGGTTCCGTTGCCTCCTCACATGCCTGGAGATGGGCAAATGCAACATCCTGGAGGTGGTGGCCGCTTGTTGCGCCCTCCATAACCTGGTGCAGAGGAAAGGGGAGGCCTTCCTGCCAGGGTGCGGGACAGGTCCTGATGGCGAGGAGAGGCAATTTCAGCAGCCCTGGATGGTTGCCATCCACCAGGCTCACCAGGCTAGTGTACAAATCTGATAGGTCCTGACGGAGAGATTCTCAGAAGGAGCCCACTAACTCCCCAGGGTCTTCCCCATGGTGGGGGTGGGCCGGGCCCCCCCCCACCTTCCCCCCCCCCCCCCCCCCCAAAAAAAAGCAAGCTAGATTTTATTCTGCTTCAGATATTATCAAACTAGTCAGTGAGGCTTGAACTGTAGAACTTTATTATTTATTGGGAAAATGTAGGATACAGAAAATAACAGTCTGACTTAGCAAGGCTGTCAAGTGAGAACACATTTTTTCCCTATAGTTTTGTGGGCCAGTTAGAATCTGTTATGATACAATAAGGGTGATTTGTTGTTGTGTGCATCAGGGCATTGTTACCCGGAAAGCTGAGGTATTTTTAAAGGTAAAGATCAAACATCAGCAAACAGGCAATTTATCAATAGTCCCACCCTAACCCTAGAAGAGAAGAAGATAGGATAGTTCCACACACATAAGATCATATGTTACATTCATAATCGGCGATTGATGCTAGATGTCCGTGACCTTCAACCTTGCGGCTAATGTAAAGCTTTAAGGGAGAACAAACGGAGCGATCCCTCGATGGATGTCCATTGCCGGTTCCAATGCGGATACCGCAACCGAGTCCTCGCCTCCTGCGAGCTGACGCTTGGTGGAGTACCAGATCCTGTCCAAGTATCCCATAAGCGAGACGATATTATAAGTCCCAAAGTCTTAGTGGTAGCAAAAAAGACTTCCCTTATTCCAAATAATGTCACTAGAAATGGGTAGTCTTGTCAGACTGCAGGCTGGAACCTTCTCAGGGTAGACGACGACGCAGGGAAATGATGAACCACAGACGCACATGCAGGACGTAAGGAGAACCAAAGAACACGAATGTTCCTTGACAAGAGCTTATAAACACCTTAAGGTGGGAAAATGCTAAAGGAAAGGGGTGCAGAGAACTAGGGCCGGGTGCATAAGGAATTGAGTGCCATGTGCAAAAGATGGATGCGCACGCAGGCAAATGGGGCGGTGTGCACAGTCTTTGGGGCTGAGTGCACAGGTTTAGTGCTGAGTGCACAGCCTTCCTTTACCTGTTTTTGGCGGGAAAACTGCTTTGAGGGAAAAAGAACCCTTCAGACTCCATTTTGTATTTTACCCAGGCAACAGTTCCCCTCCTTGACGGTGTTACAGTGTGAGGGAACTGAACATGTTACACCGTCACTCTAACATTTACAGTTACAAACTTACATTATATAACTAAGTACAAAATGAGTGTCCTTTAAAGAGAACTCCTCAGACTCCATTTTGTATTTTATGTATTATGCCCAGGCAACAGTTCCCCTCCTTGAACATGTTACATACCATCACTCCAAAGTTTACAGTTGCAATTACAACATAATACAAAATAAGTACCCAACATGGTAACATTATTAACAGTATCAAGCTGTTTCCTTCTCTAATACAGAAGTATTCCTAGCCTTGTGATTTTCATACTTAGCCATTTTACACATAACCATAGTCAGTGCAGTCACGTATATCAGGACACAAAAATGTAACGCAAAACTAATGATCATGGGGTAACTAATTAGCGGTGACATCTCGTTAAAAAAGAAAATACATCCCACCAATGGTGTACAGGTACATCTGTATTTGCATTTATATTTAGATTCGTCTTTGCATTCTTTCTATCTTCACTGATTTTGTCAACAGTGTGGTGTATAATTATCCCAGTCCTATTTCCTAATTCATTTATTTCCTTTACTAGACCAATAAGCTCGGTGTGATGGAACAAAGATTTCATAGCGTTTAAGTTAGGACCAATTGCTACAGGCTTGATATTTCTTATCATATGCAAATTAATAGTATATTGCTCCTCTGATGGTTCGGACAAGGTCACCTCTATATCACATCCTTGTATGTGAAATACCTTACATAAACATAGGTTGGAAGTACCTAGATTCATTACTTTATAATATGTATTTACCATAAAATGGGAGCACAAACTCCGAATGCATATACACCCGTCTGCTATCTGAACCACGACAGAATGGTTGTCGTTATCACTAGAGGGATGCAGGTCGTAGTGACACTTTCCAAAATCAGGATTAAAACAGATGTGATCATTCTCCCATAACCCGGTGGTGCATGTATATCCAAGACTGACCTGCTTCACACATGCCTGTAGGTTTACAGTTCTCAGTGTAGAATCCTCTTCCTTTACATATGCCCATAATCTATCTGGCAACGGAAGCAGCAAGGAATGGTTTACAAACATCCCAATAGGTATAATAGGATATATGTATTCCTTAAGCGCCTCTCGCATCATAAGGATGGACATTTGTTCTTCCTTCAAATCATATTTGGTGTGAATTACCGACCTCCATTCAGGATTATTTCTTTCAAACTCGTTCAAATGAGGCTGAAGTAATTTTGAAAGTTCAACAGGTACCTTTCCACTAGCACTGTCATGCAAGATGTCCTTGGCGATATCTATCAGAATTGTTTGAGCTTGGATACAAGCTAGAGCGAGTGACACATTGCTCTGTATATTATCCATGGTCTGTAAGAGAAGTAAATTATCCGCTTCTTGAATGGCAATCCATAATGGTAGCAGCCTAGTAATATCCAACTGCAGCTTATCCACAGCTAGCAGTGCATCTTGTATGGGATGTGTTTAATCATCTATTCCACCCATTCAACATAGGGATAACATAGGATTGACAATCTGGATTGACTTTGCTGGTAGTAATTTGCATAGGCTCAGCTATCATTTTTACAGACTATTTCGGTTCTATCATCATCGTTTTAGCAATGTCCCTTTTAATTACGTATGGGCCTATAATAGTGACAGTAGGTGATTGAGCTACCGTGATTTTTAATTGGTATACCACTTCGTATGGTCCCCTAACAATCCAGATGCCTGAAGCTTCTGCTTTCACTTCAACGTCACCATGGTATCCATAGCCGACCATATTCCTCCTGTTTTCTCACTTGCAATATATCAACTCATGGTGGGTGCTGGATTGGGCTGTTTGTCCATGCATTCCACAATGAATTTGGTGAGATCTTCTGACCATTAGGGCTATAAATAACTACTGGCACTTTTTTCCATGCCTGTTGCCATATTGACTATTTGAATGGAGATGTTCATAGGTCCGAGCTTTATGACTGTGGGACTTAGTATGTCCATAAACACACATTTGGTTTGGTCCCGTTTACTGATAAGCGGTATACAATTAACAAGACACCTTATTGGTCGTTTCTCTGTGCATCCAACTTGCTCTATGTCTACTCCTCAGTCACGTCTTCCATGGGGGTTAAGATCCATATCGAACCAGTTGAGTGTTCTCAAGATGATTTTCTTAGACTGCTTAGTAGATGCAAAAGTTAGTTCTGGATACCCTGATCTTTCATCCATGACTTTAAAGTAACACTTTCCCTCTGCCATAAATGCATACATGATTAGGTCCTGTGATTTAAATTGTTCTAGATGTATCTTCCCCTGTCTTCTGGTGATCATGGAGGAAGTTTTTGGGATGTTCCATTCACTTAATGGCTTATCAATAGCTGTACACCTCCAATAGTCATTTTCCAGGAACAACAGACTCCATGTCATCTGGATACAATATAAGATCAAGAGTATAACAGTGTCCATGTTGTTCTGTAAAGAAAAAGAAGAAAACAAACATTAGCTAACTGACTTCAGTTACATCTTTCAAAGGGTTATGAGGAGGATCTTGTCGATGTCCAGGCTTCCACTTCTTTAACTGGGAACTATGAAAACATTTTTTTAGTTTTTGCTTTCCTGTTGCTATTTCTATCTGGTATACAGTAAGTCCTGCTTTACCAATAATGAAACAGGATCCCATCCACGTTGAGCTGAGGGGATGATGTTTCTCACTGATATACCGATATAATACTTGGTCTCCTATTTCCCATTCTTTCATGCACAGTTGACTTCCTAATGGTTGGTCCATTTTCTTCATATTTTTCTTTAAATTCAACGCTACGTTGTATTGTATGGACAATACGGCTGTAAGGATCTTCTGAATATAGATATCTGTCATCATCCTGGGTTGAAATTCATCGGGTGGTACCCCTCCTTGTATCCACCATAACTCTGGTTTCTGCATAGACCTTCCCAGTAACGCCTCGTGGGGTGAATAACCATTTGCAGTTATGGTTGAGCGGATAGCCATAAGTATCAGTGGGATGCGTTCGTCCCATCTCTTCCCTGATGAATCAATCACCTTTCTTAGTGCTGTTTTTAGCATCTGGTTTGATCTTTCAACTAACCCTGATGATTGAGGGTGTCTGGCTATGTGGAATCGTTGTTTGATCCCTAAGGCTATGCATAAGTGTTTCACAACGTCACTGGTGAAATGAGTGCCTTGGTCGCTATCTATTTCATGGGGCAACCCAAACCTGGCGAATACCTCGTTCAATAGCACTCTGGTGGTGGTCTTTGCCGTGCAGTTTCGTGTGTGGGTATTGCCTCGATCCACTTAGTAAATGGATCTACTATTACTAAGTAGTATGAATTGCCCTTTGCTGTTTTTGGAAGTGGACCGATTAAGTCGATTTGCAATCGATACCAAGGTCCATGGATTGGTTGATGACGGATTGGCTTACAGTGGCGGTCCATTTTTGGTTGTTTTTCGCACGAGTTAAACAGTTCTGAATAAAGTGCTCTACGTCGGATTGCATATTAGGCCACCAAGCCACTGTGGATAATCGATCCATAGTCTTTTCACACCCAAAATGCCCTTGATTATGGGAGAGAGCGAGTAGTTCTTGCCTAAGGACAGTTGGTAACACTATCACTGGGACGTCGTCTGTCTCTTGTCTTTGTGTCATTATTATTCCACCAGGATGGACAAATATCCCACGATCCCTATATTTCCCTTTCTTTGCTAGAGTTATCTCTCTATCCATCGTCTGCATTTTCACCAGGTCCATAGTAACACTCGCATCCTGATGATCTTTAGGTTGTTTGACTTCATGTACCACTTCCTCTGTCCTCATTTCGCAGGCTCGATCCAGAGGTAATGAAGCTGAGGTCTTTGCTAGCTGATCCACCTCATTATTAAATTTGGATATTTCCACTTGGTTTTTGTGGTGTGCTTTCACCTTAAATACATAGGTTTTCCCTTTATGCATCTTGGCTACGTTCCATACATAATTTAGCAACAATGCATGGGCTACCGGCTTATTATTAGTTGTGTACATCCCTCTCTCTTTCCAGATGATCATCCAATCTACTAGTGCTCTGAGGACCCACTCTGAATCAGTACACACAGTGATGTCCATGCCAGGATCGCTGTTTTCTAAGGCTAGTATCACGTCTACAATTTCTGCGGTCTGTGCAGACATAGTCTTGATGGGTCTCAAAATTTCTTTTCTGGATTGGACATGTAGGGCTGTAGCTCCAGTCACTAATTTTCCTTCTCTCTGATAATAACTCCTGTCCACCACCCATATATGTTCTGGGGCATTCTTCCGGACGAGATCATAACCTTCTAGTAGAATGAAAGGAGACATCACTTCCAGAGGCCGGACATCGGGGATAGAACACTCATGATCTTCCTGTTCTGAGCCGTTTACTGGTTGACATAATATTGCAGGGACGATACTTGGCGTGTTAGTATGTTCGACCACAATCGGATGGTTCATTAATGTCAAGGTCCATTGGACGAGGTGAGGGTGGCTTACTCGACCATTATTTGCATGCCCAGAAATAATGTACCTTCCTGGGGAATGACATGTCTTCAAAACAATAGGTGCCATCCCTATAAGGTACTCCCAGTGGTTTAGGGACTAGACCAAGGCAAGTACTTCCTTTTCACAGGTGGAACATCGCTGCTCTGTCTCTGACAACGTTCTGGAACCATAGGCCACAGGTCTAATGGAAGTTCCTCGTTTCTGCATAAGGACCGCTCCAATCCCATCTTTATTGGTGGACAACTGCATGTAGAACTCTTTAGATGAATTGGGATAAGCTAGAGCTGAGGCTTCCATTAACGCCTGTTTTAGTTGCTTGAACACCTCTTGGTGAACTGAGGTCCATTGCCATGGTTGATTCTTTTTAAGCAGTGTATATAGGGGCTTTGCTTTGGCTCCAAAGTTCTCAATAAAGTCTCTACTGAACCCAAGGAGCCCTAAAAATATCCGTAATGAGTGGACGTTCGTCGGTGCGGGAAGACTGGCTATCATCTTGATCCTCTCATGGTGTGGTTTCCTTCCTTTTTCTCCTAGCTCCACCCCCAAGTAAGTAACCTTTCGCTGGACCAACTGGGCCTTGGATGGATTAATTAAGAATCCTGCTTCTTTCAAGAGTCTCAACACCTCTTCTAACACTTCCAAATGTTTCTCACGATTGGTGGTTGTAATCAAGATGTCATCTACATAACTAACAATGTGCTCTGCAAATTTACTGTTCTTCCATAGATTAGACACGATCTTATGGAAAATAGTGGATGCATTATAAAAACCTTGGGGCACCCTTGTAAATGCGTACTGCTGATCTTGATAAATAAAGGCAAATTTGTACCATGATTCTGGAGTCATTGGAATCGAAAAGAAGGCATTACTGATATTTCTAACTGAAAACCACCTTGCCTCACTTGCAATTTGCGCTGTTATTTCAGGGTATTTTGCTACTACGGGAGTTAACCTTGGTGTTACCTTATTCAATTCCCTAAAATCAATGGTGAGTCTCCAGGGTTTCCCATCGGCTTTCCGCACCGACCACATGGGAGAGTTTCAAGGGCTTTCACACTTTACTATGATCCCTTGAGCCAACAAGGCCTGAATTGTGTCTTTTACTCTCTCATTTGCTTCTTTGGGAAATTTATATTGGTGCACTGGCCTAGGGTCCAGTCCAGATACCTTGACTGATGTTTTCACTTTCCCACAACTTAATTTATGTGGTGTAAACACCTCTTGATGTTGATCAATAATAGTCCGTATGGATGGTTCCCAAGTGGGCATTGGAAAACTGTGGCAGGCTTTTATCGATCCTAATTGATGGGTAGGAGATATCGTTGTTCCCACATCATTACTTTCACTAGTTCTGTACATGCAATGATTGGGTAAATCCACAATTAATCCAAATTTTTGTATCAAATCCATGCCCGTAATTCCTGTGCAGTTCAGTTCCTGTATTCCAATAGCATTGGTAATTTGTAACGATCCCAGCTGACAAATGACTCCAGTGATGAACGGTACTAAAGATGTCTTGCCGTTATAACAAAATACAGGACTATGTAGCACTTCTCTTGCCGTTATAAGATTGCAATGTCTGGATGTAATCTCCGGGTACGCTCTTCATATTAGGTAATTGCTTGGTGCATATGAGACTGGTGAAGGCCCCTGTGCCCACCAATGCTCGTTGTTTAAAACTCCCAAACTTCCCTTTGTAGGTGATGTCTACTGTTGGTCTTCCATAGAGGTCAAATGTAATTGGAATAATCTGTTCCATCTCTTGGGGCTGGGAAGCTTGGCACCTTCAGTATTGAGCTTCCTGGTTCCCACGGTCTGGGTTCCCACAACCTTGGTTCCCACGACCTTCAAAATGGCTGCCCTCTTGTACATCCTAAGATGGCGATTCCGTACAGCAAGATGGCGCAGTACATTCCGCAACTACCGCACAAGATGGCATCTCTCCATTTGCCTTAGCATCTGCTTTAGTCTTTCCTTCCCAGTATATTAATTCAGTAAAGATGGAATCAGTGTTTAGGGCTTTTACCTTATCCCAAGGTAAGTATTTTGAAAGCCTCTGTGCCAGGACTTTCCTTGTTGCAAAGATTTCATCCCTTTTTCCCCACAACATATGAGAAGGTTTCTCAAAATTTCTTTTCTCTTGCTTTCCAGATGGAATCCCTCCTTGCAGGGCAGATACCTTTTTAACCTCTGCTCCTGCTAGTTGCTGCAAATTATAAATTTATCTTATTTGATCTTTTAAGAGAGAAAGCGGAGTGCTGGTATGATCATATACCCCCAATGCCAGTTTTAAACTAGGGAGCAGACCATTCCCCTGTGTCATCGTCTACCCTGAGGAGGCCAAGGTTCCAGCCTGCAGTCTGACAAGATTACCCATTTCTAGTGACATTACTTGGAATAAGGGAAGCCTTTTCCGTTACCACTAAGACTTTGGGACTTATAAATCGTCTCGCTTACAGGATACTTGGACAGGATCCAGTACTCCACCAAGCGTCAGCCCGCAGGAGGCGAGGACTCGGTTGTGATATCCACATCAGAACCGGCAGTGGACATCCATCGAGGGAACGCTCCATTTGTCCTACCTTAAGGCTTTACATTAGCCGCAAGGTTGCAGGTCACGGACATCTAGCATCAATTGCCGCTTGTGAATGTAACGTATGACCTTATGTATGTGGGACTATCCTATCTTCTTCTCTTCTAGGGTTAGGGTGGGACTGTTGATAAATTGCCTGTTGTTTGCTGATGTTTGATCTTTACCTTATAAAATACATGGTTTGGCCCTAAATTACAGGATACCAGGCCGAATCTGGATTCTGTGGGTGGGCACCTTAGGCTTTAATTAAATTGCATAGCCCACAGCACAGCAATTGTTTACCTCAGCTCTCCGGGTAACAATTTGGCGACCATGGCAGGATGTGGTGAGAAACAAGGGTATGTCTACACTACCCCGCTAGTTCGAACTAGCGGGGTAGTGTAGACATACCCTTGTTTCTCACCACATCCTGCCATGGTCGCCAAATTGTTACCCGGAGAGCTGAGGTAAACAATTGCTGTGCTGTGGGCTATGCAATTTAATTAAAGCCTAAGGTGCCCACCCACAGAATCCAGATTCGGCCTGGTATCCTGTAATTTAGGGCCAAACCATGTATTTTATAAGGTAAAGATCAAACATCAGCAAACAACAGGCAATTTATCAACAGTCCCACCCTAACCCTAGAAGAGAAGAAGATAGGATAGTCCCACATACATAAGGTCATACGTTACATTCACAAGCGGCAATTGATGCTAGATGTCCGTGACCTGCAACCTTGCGGCTAATGTAAAGCCTTAAGGTAGGACAAATGGAGCGTTCCCTCGATGGATGTCCACTGCCGGTTCTGATGTGGATATCACAACCGAGTCCTCGCCTCCTGCGGGCTGACGCTTGGTGGAGTACTGGATCCTGTCCAAGTATCCTGTAAGCGAGACGATTTATAAGTCCCAAAGTCTTAGTGGTAACGGAAAAGGCTTCCCTTATTCCAAGTAATGTCACTAGAAATGGGTAATCTTGTCAGACTGCAGGCTGGAACCTTGGCCTCCTCAGGGTAGACGATGACACAGGGGAATGATGAACCATAGACGCACACGCAGGACATGAGGGGAGCCAAAGAACACGAGTGTTCCTTGACAAGGGCTTGTAAACACTTCAAGGTGGGAAAACACCGAGGGAAAGGGGTGCAGAGAACTAGAGCGGGGTGCATAAGGAATTGAGTGCCATGTGCAAAAGATGGATGCGCCCGCAGGCAAATGGGGCGGTGTGCACAGTCTTTGGGGCTGAGTGCACAGGTTTAGTGCTGAGTGCACAGCCTTCCTTTACCTGATTTTTGGTGGGTCCTCAGACTCCATTTTGTATTTTATGTATTATGCCCAGGCAACAGAATAATACTGCAGATATCCTCTGCTCCAGTATCTCCAGTAGGCATCTGTTTCAGTCTGGATCACCTGTGGTGTAGCCCTCTGGACAAGTCACATCAGATGTTGAAGCTTCAATCCCTTCCATGGTATTCAAAGTACCAAAATAAACAGAACATCCTCCAGCCCTTGGGGGCTCAACTCACAGTTCTTCCTGGATTTCACTTCAGTTCCCTGCTTCTTATAGGCCCTATCTCATGGATCCCCATGAAAACCTATCCTGCTCCCTGTGGCTCTCCTCCATTGCCTGGTCCCTTTCTGGAACTTCAGCCTCAGTGCTACCTGTTTAGACAAACAGTCCTTATTCCACAGGGTCATCACAGGAGTTACCTCTACTCTTGTGGCTCAGTTTGCTAGCGCTGAACTGCTGGGATTTCCATTGCAAGAGAATCTAGGTAGCCCTTCCCCTGCCTAGTCGTAAGCCCCAGGTGTCCAGTGATCGTCCCTTAGCTCTTTCCCGTCTGGCTGGGAGGCAGTTGTCCCACAAGTCTGGATCATGTTTCTGATTGGGATTTTTCCGCTCCTGTAACAGGTGATGAGGAAAAGCCACCACACTGTTTAAGAAGTCATTCAGTGAAGGAATTAAAACTTCTCTCCACCCTACTCTGTTTCCCAGACTACATACCAAATCACAACAGAAAGATTAGTCACACATAGAAATTACTCCAGCAAGGCATTCCAACTACTATTGCCAATTTTGGTTGGATATATTCCTAGAGATTTAATCACATGACTTAATCTTTAATTAAAGATTAATCTTTAATTGAGAGACTCTAGGCCAAAGCTGGAGGGCAGGCAAACCTATCTCCAACAAAAAGTGTATTCTTTCTTGACACTACAGTTTCTATTGGCCAACTAAATTTGGAACAAATCTCAGTGTTGGTAAAATGCATTTTAGAGCACATGCTGGCAAGTGGAGAAAGCAGAAAGATAGAATTTCCATACTTTGAATTCAACGTTTCAAGAAATATTTTGTAACTACATATTACAAAGAAGGTAAACAGCACAGGGAAGAAAGTAGAAGGAAAACTAACAAGAAGAAATAATTATTGCTATGAAAATGTTGGCGTATATACATTCTCTTTTTATGCCAGTGCTAAACAGGCCCCTTAAGAAGATAATAAAGGTCTCTTGAGCCTCACAGACTTTTTGTTGCTTTCACAGGCAGATCTTCTGTAATATTTCTTTTGTTCGAATTAAAACTCGTGCTCCAGTTGCCCGTATAGAAATCTTTTCAGCCACTTATTTTTATTCGGGCATAGTCACTTGGAACGAAAGTAGGAAAAACATTAAAAAAAAGCTATTTTTGCAAAGGGTTGTGTCTTCTTTTCTATATCCCCATTCCACAATCACAAAACAACTACCAGAATAAAACAAATGTATATAAAAATAGGTCTATCATTGGAGGGATATAAAATATGAATGCAATTTTTCTTGATAGTTTTTAGCAGGTTCATATTGTAACTGCTAAATAAGTGAATGTATTAATACAATTTCTGACAGTTTTTATATGACAGTATTAAAATGCACATTAGCACTAGAAGCAAAGATGATACATCTCTGGAATTAATCATATTCAGAGTAAGCAATTGAGTCCATCAATGCAATAGGTTGCCTGTTGATGTAAAACACAACTTAGACCTATCATTTAAATACTTGAATGCCAGCATATGCTTTTTATAATGATATATACGTAGGATTCAGGAGCGTCTCTCAGATTTAATTACAATTTTTTTCCTTAATGGCATTAGTTTTATCATTGATATCAGACTATATGAAACCAATATAATTTATCCAACTTTCACTATTTGTACAACTATTCATCTTTTTTTCAGTTGTGGATGCTGTTTATCTGCAACAAGACTCTGGTTATTGCAATGGCATGCAGCAGTGAGAGAATTTGACTGAAAACTGGCAGGTTCTGGGTATGGCATGCAGACACACAGTATTGTGACCATAGCAGGGAGCTGACAGCTGGCAGGGGGAATGAAAGAGAAAACACATACACAGCACTCAGATCAGGGTGGGGAGTTGTGATGTGTATGGCACATCGAATGACCAGAGACACACAGCACAAGAACATGGAGTCAAGTCTTGTGCACACCTCAGGGACAGAGCTCTTCAGGTAGCTAGTACCTCACTCTATTCAACCATGACTGTTTTATAAGATGGACGTCTGTAAAAGCAATTCAGAGGTTGAGTAGAATCCAGAAGTTGTAGCTTTGTAAGAATCAAGTCTGTATACTTTTTGAGCTAGCTTAACAGACACATGGTATTTTTGTTCCCTTCACTTAGTGGTTCAATGTAAGTGCCTTCATTCGTCAGCTTCTGGAATTAAGTCTTTGCTTCTTCCAATATATTTTCAATGTATATTCTTCTGATTGATCCAAATGTACGTTCGCTTGCTAGACAAAGATCTACTGGTGTAGTAGCAGATACCTGAACAGTATTCTTTTATAACCCCAGTGGATTCAACAGTAGACTTACAAGAGACAGATCATGGTGATAGCAAAGAGATGATTTAAGTCAGGGGCAAGGCATAGAATTTCCAGTGATATCCATGTCTAAGGAAAGGCTAAACCTTGGCACACAGATATCTGAGTAAACAGGAAATGTTTAGTTAGATACAATCAGTTTATTTCCTTTATTTTTTTGGTCCCTTGTGCAGCACAAGGTATCTCTCCCCATACACTGTAATTTTTAAACTGAATCCCAGGGAAGTAATTCTCTGTGCTTTTAATATACTCTTTTTTGTTGCTCTGTAACACCTAGCAACCAAGTATGGTCTACCAAGTAGGTATTTTTTGTTTTGTTAATAAATTCACCTTTTTTTAAGGCTCTGATCTGAGTCATATGTCCTAGAAGGCAGGAGGTTCTATGTGTGCATACCTGAGACTAAAAGGTCAGCTATTAGGAATTACAGTTTGTTTTCTAGCTCTCTCCTGGAGGGGGGTTAAAGAGCTTTGGGGTACCCCACAGAAATAAATTCCCAAGTATGTCTTCCTGGATTGTCAAAGTGGTTTTTGCATTTGAATGGTGGCAGTGTACCACCCAAGCTCAGGGAATCTGTGATCTCAGGGAGTTTTTAAGCAGAAGCCTTTAGTGGCAGAGTATTTTAAAGTCTCTTGTGAGCCTTCATCTTCTGCACTTGGAATGCCAGAGTGGGGAACAGCCTTGACAGCCACATTTTAGATTATTGTTATTATTTAATATTTATAAAATGGTAGCATGCTCAGGTCAGTCTGAATATGAGAACCATTCTGATAGGTGATTCCAAATAGAAGTAAGAATGGCTGCCTAAGCGAACACTAAGAATGAAATCCTGGCCCCACTGGAGTCAATCTGAATTTTGCCATTGGCTTCAGTAGTGGCCAGGGTTTCACCTTACAAAACAATACATAGTTTATACATATGTGCTATTTTAATTTTGTTTTGCATTACATACATAATACCACATTTCCCCAGTGTACAAGTGCAGACCCTGGTTAGCCCACTTGTGCCTTTATTTACTTTCCGCCACCCTTTCCCCAAGCGGGTACAAGAGTCCGACCCATGCCAAGTCTCCTCGTCTTAGTCCTCCTCTTTTGTGGGCCAGCCTGACCCAAATGTGCCCAGGGTTTCTCACACCACCTCCGTCAGCGGGGAAAGGGGGGTCCAGGCCCACCCTCACTCATGGACCCCAGCCCAGGGCCCTAAGGATGCAGACCTGTTTAGGTCCAGTCCGGCTGGTGGGGCTTCCCGCCGAAACGCGCCAGCCCATGGGCTATAATGCCCTGCTCTGGGCTGCTTCCTCCCTCTTTGCCTGGTCCATTGACCGGACCATGCTAGGAGGCCTGCCTTGCCCCGTCCCTTCTGGGTCTCGCTGGGGGTGCCTCGGGGAGTCCTCCGGAAGGTGCGACCCCACGGTGCCTCCACCCCTCCTCTGGTCTGGCCCCCTGCTCCCTGTGAATGCTGGCTCCTTTTGAATCTTGGCACCCTGGCAGGGCCCGGACATTTCAGTTCTTCCCTGCTCACAGCCCCCTAATTGCTCTGAGGGTGGGGGAGTGCATGTGGTCTTTGCCCCTCTGCCCCTCCAGAGAGAACCTCCAGCTGCTCTGAATAGCTGGCAGTTCCCTCTTGGTGCCCCTACCGATGGCCATGGGAGCAGACTTCGCATACTTCCTCTGTCCCCCTTCTCCAGGCCAATCAGGCTAAGTCTCCTCCTGCCCTGCCCCTGTCCTGCAAAGAGTGCACAGTGCTTAGAAGTGCCTCGCCTGTTGCAGGGTGGAAGGAGACTTTGTGCACTCGCCCCACCCCAGGCCAATCAGATCCTGGGGGTGGGAGATTGTGAAAAGTCTCTCGCTCCCTGCCCTCAGGCACATAGCACTTAGAATCAGCTCCCAGGGTTGACTCTAAGCACCATGCACTCCCTGGTCCCTAGGCCCTCACTGACCTGGCGAAGTGGGAGCAGCAGGGCTTCCGTGGACCGGATCAACCCACTTGGTGGGCCAGATCCAGCCCACAG